ATTTACCTTGGTTTCTTATCATAATAAATTAGCATTCCCCATTCTAAGATTTGAAAAATTCACTAATATTTTCTTTAAAGCTTAGCTGAAATGCTTATTCAAAAGATGTTTCTGAGTATCTTAAGCAGAAGTTAACCCATCCCATTCCTCCCTCCCGCTGTATCACTTGTGTTGTACATCACAGTCTACATTATAATAGTTATTGTTTTTATTCTCTAAACTCTTATTAGTGCAAAAATATTTGACAACAAAGCATCCCACAGAACTCTCTACTCTACTGGGTTTGATAATTCATTCCAATGGTCGCCAGAACTCAGATAAAGTACTCACAGTCATAGGGAAATTAACAGGTTCCAATACAGGATCAGCAAATACTCAGGGCAAAGTTGTTCCAGTCAGCTGTTCCATTTAAACGCCCACAGGAAACACCGCTCTTCTATAAGCCTCAGCCTGAAGACACTTGGCTCTAGCTCAGTGGGTCAGCAAACCTAGCTTCTCTGTGCAAATACCCAGAGGCACCCCACTCTAGAAGCAGAAGTCACTAAGCTTTACTTGTTCCTTGGGCTAGGAAGCCCACTCCTCTGTATTGTGCCCTTATTCTTGGTTCTGTTGCTGCTGCTTCTCTGCCACTCCTGCAAAATCCCAGCTTTCTGTCCCTGGGTAGAGGAAGTTCAATGCACATGGATCTCAGGGTCCAAAGGGCAGACCCCACTTCTGACTCTTTTTCTTCGTAGTAGTGAATCCCCCCTGTTGCTTCTGAGATGATTCATTTTATGCCTGTGCTAGAGTTTCAGGATTTTTCAGTCACAATGAACTCTGCTAATATCCACACTTGAGTTATGTCATTCTAGCAATATTTTTTCCCACCCTTTTACCCAGATTCAGCAGGGCAGAAACATTGTTTGATGGGAGTTGCAAACAGGTCTACAAAAGATACATTAAATAATTCACTATACTGCAGATAGGAAATTACTGAAGGGAAAAACTATATTTATTGATGAACCCCAAAGTATCTAGAGTATGCCTTACATAAAGTGCTACTTTTGAGCCTATATAAAAGGCTTAGGGATGGCATCTAACCTCTTCTAACTTCACCAGGGGGATGGAGAATCAAATTCAGCTACAGCCCAAGGCCGATTTCTATGCAACTGAATCAAACATGCCTCCACCACCCAACCTTCCTTAATAATTAAAATGCCAACCGGCCCTCCAAGAACACACTGTTTCTCAGTAATGGGCACTCAGAACTCACAGAGCATACTCAGATGTGAGGTTTATGAAAGAAGTTAACAGGGTACAATTCAGGACCAGAAAATGCTCAGGATACAGATCTTTGATCAGGCAGCCTCTTTGCTGTCATGCCCATATCTCTCTGGCCCTTGGCTTTTTGCTCTGGCCTCTGCCCTGCTCAAGCAATGTTACAAAGCTTTTTTAGCATCGTCAGTAAAAGCCCAAAAGGTACTCCATTAGGTCATAAGGCTCAGCCCAAAGGCATTCAGCTCTAGTTCTGTGGGTCAGAAATCTAGCTCTCTGATTCACTGCCTGAAGACACCCCACTCAGCAAGCAAGTCTCTTGTCCACAGGCATTCATATTGACTCAATTCGTGGGCCAGGAAGCCCACTACTCATCTCTTGCTCTGTTTCTTGATTCTGCTGCTGCCACTTCTATCAACCCTTGTCTGCTTCGCTGGTATCACAACTGTCTCTCCCCTGGATTGAATGTGCAGGAATCTTGGGGTCCAAAGGATGTGCTTCACTCCTGGCTCTTCTCGCTTGTTACCAGGGAGATCTTCCTTACTGCTGTTGAGATAGTTCATTTTATACCCAGCAGGATGATGAAATGGACCAATCCCCACTTAGGGTTCTTAGTTCTTACAATCACGATTAGCCCTACTAGCAATCAATCACAACTGAATCATGTATTATCATCTGTCCCCACCTTCTCTTACCCAGGACCATCAGGAAAAAGTCGTTTGGCAAGAATTACAAGCACTATGGCTAGAAGAACCATATTAAGCAATTCGCTGCACTGCAGAGTCCCTGGTGGCAGCAGGAGTTAACATTCAGTTGCTAACCTACAGGCAGTTTGAGCCCACCCATAAATCCTGATGAACTGCTACTGAAAAATCAAGTGCTGGAAACCCTATCAAGCACAATTCTACTCTGATCCATACATATGGGGTTGCCTTGAGTTTGAATCAAAAGCATCTGGCTTGGCTTTGTGTGAGTGTGTGTGTGTGTGTGTGTGTGTGTGTGTGTGTGAGAAGTGCTACTTAAATATTTGTTGGTAATGTTTGATGCTGTGGATCTCTTTCACACTAAGAGTGGGTGGTAGATATGTAACGCCCATCCCACTCACATCCTAATTAGACATGAACTCTTGTGAAATTTTGTGACTAGTTATACTTTGGCAAGGTAAACTCTTTGTTCTCCCATCTCCAGACCGGAGCCACACCTGTCAAGGACTGACTGCAAGAGCAACACATGAAATTGAGATTTTAGGACTTGCTGAATGGCGGGTGGCCAGGACGTTCCTAGGTGGGAAGGGATGTCAGGCAAGATAGTTCCTGGCAACATGAGTAGCACATGTGGAGTCTTGACACAAAGATGCCATCCCCCCACAGTGTAAACAGGCTGAATCTCCCAACAGCATGCCCATTCTGTCCCCACCAGGGGCATACATTCCTCCATAGATTTGTCTGTTAAGAAAGATCTTGAGTGTATTGGATCTGGTATAGGTTACATACTCAATCTCTTAACTAGCTAATTATATTGAATCATCAGCTCAGTGGATTTGCCGCTGCAGGTTCTATGTTCATTAGTCCTTATCCTAGGTTCACTGCCTACAGTTTCTCTCTTCACAGTCTCTCCTAAGCCCCTTTAAATATGACTTTCACTCTACTGAAACTACTCTCATCAAGGTCACCAGCCAAAAAAGAAAAGAAAAGAAAAAACAAAAACCCTTTGCTGTCAAGTCAATTCTGACTCATGAACCCAACGTCTTTTGGAGTAAAACTATTCCATAAGGGTTTTGGGTTTTTTTGGCTATTATCTTTATGGAAGCTGATCGACAGGCCTAAGTGCCATGAAGGCACTTAACAACAAGTCAGAGTGACTCTGTATAGGGTTTCTGAGGAGCAGCTCATGGGTTTGAATTACCGACCTTGTAGTTCAAACTGACCTTATGATCCAGTGTTTGTCAAGCATAAACCATTCTGTTACCCAAGGACTTTCAAGGTCACCAGTAGCTTCCAACAGAAAAATGCATTGGTCAATTCTCAGTTCTCGCCTTACTTGCCTTACCAGCAGCATTTGACTCAACTGATCCTGCTCCCCCAAGTGCTTCCTCTGGCTCCCAGAACACCTCACTCTCTTGAGTGTTCCTCCTACCTCACTGATTGCTTTCTAACTTATTACCTTTACAGGCTAATCCTCAATTCCTGAACTTTTAACATTGGAGTGTCCCAAGGCCTAGTCGTTGGACATTTTCTCTTTTTTATTTTCAGATCCTTGGTGATTAAAGCAAATGATGCTTGTATAGCACTTAGCACAGTGCTGAGCCAACAGGTAGTGCTTGATGAATCTACTTTTATAATTATTTCTGACCTTTGTTTTCTAGAAGGTTTCATGGATATCTGACTAGTAAAAATGAAGCATTCAACTCCTTTTCGTAAAAAAACTGACTTTATTCCTCAACACACAAAAGTTCTATTTTCAAGTTTTCAACTGAATCAATTGTAAAAACTGAAATGTTATTGTGTTGATAGCTCAGCTTCTGAAAGTGAAATCAAAATTAACATTACCCAGAAAGGAGCCAAATAAGAACCAAATAGAGGGATAAAAAGCACAATGTGAATTGAAATCATTGGAATTTTCTAGCCTAATGATGACTAATTTTCAGCTCATCAGAAAGATGTAGTCTAGAAAACATTTTTCAACCCAAGTTTGCATGGGATTATTGCATATGGTACTGCACAGCTGTATATAGCACTGGCTTTACAACCTGACGGGACACTGAAGATATGTGGAAACTTGCACAATGTCCCTACAACCACAATATAAAGGGTTTCTTATTACTGACATGCATTCCCACTAACTCTGTCATCCCAACTGATTATTAGTAGGTAGAAAGACTATAAATCTTCAGCAGTAGTATCTGAGGTATCAGAAGTATTCAACAGGCCTGGATCCTATAGGAAAACTCTCAGGTAAGCACCCAAATGCACAAAGTAGATCACATGGATTTTTCTAATAGGTTCAGAAAACCCATTGCACTGCAGAAGCAGAAAAAGGGTTTCAGAACATTTTACGTGTCCATTGTGGTGCTGTGGGTTAATGCACTTGACTGCAAAGTCAGTTTTAACCTCAAGGTTGGTTGTTCAAGCTCAACAGCTGCTCCTCAGAAACCCTATATAGGGTTGCTCTGGGTCAGAACTGACTTGATGGCACTTAACAACAACAACAACAAAAACTTTGATAGGATGCATGGTAGGTGACAGTTTTTGAGTAGATACGTAAAATAAGGTTGTCTGATTGTATTTTAATGTTTATAGAAAATCACATGTATTATTGATTTATCTTTTACTTATCCTATATCTGTATCCATATGTGTGTGGATTATCTGTGTGTACATAAGTCATATACCTTGTGCTGAGTAATAAAAACAATCGTGAAGTGTTTATTCTAACCCTTTGCAAAATACTTTCATTCTTTTACATGCAATGGCCTTGGAGTGTTCTAAGAGGGAAAAATAACCCCAATATGAAGTTACCAGGAGTTGACTATATTTAATTCATTATTAGCTTTCCTTGTCCATATTAATGATACATATTATATTGTTGATATTCTTAGAAGAACGTATGTAATGCAAAAGAAATCACTTATCATGTTAGGTTGCTTAGTGAATTAGAACCCGGCTAATACTAATTATGAGATTATTTTAGCTGAACCAGGTATACTTTATATGCTAATTTAGTTTTATTTTTTTCCTTTTTTTGTAGGAAGTCCTGGCTAAGCAAGGTGGGGAGTCCTAGTTCTCGCATTGACCGCACGGATTTTTCCAATGAGAAAACCATCTCTAAACTGGAATACACTAACTTTAGTATTCGATACTAATAGAAAAGGAGTAAAAATTGTAATGTTCACATTTCGCAATAGATATATATATTCTTACATTTATAAAATAGCATGATAAAACTAGAGTACTATAACAATGAGAATTTTATTCTGAAAGCTACAATATTATGAATGTTATTGTAGCTTTCAAATGTTATGAAAAATGGGTGGCACTGAAATAATTTTACTCATCTACATTTTCACAAGCAAAATCTTAATAATCTAAAAAAAAAAGGAGACGTCATTACAAAATAGCTCAATTTTTCTCACGGATTCTTTAATTTCAATGTACATTATACTACACATATTATTTGGCCAAACATCAGATAATAGTCATTTAAACAATAATTTAAGCACCGCTGTCCATATTAAATTCTAAATCTTTCTGAATACTCATTTGAATAATTTGTTATTAAAATGGAGAGATTTTTGTTTTTAAAGTCTTCAAAAAGACTCAGCAGTTAGAACTAAATGTATGTGATGATTAACCTAACCATAAAATAGTATCAATAAAGAATTAACATTTACATTTATGGCTAAACATGGGCGTGATTTTAAAGTTTAGGTTGGAGCTACTTGGTGCTCTTTGTGAACTGTAGTCTTCTGGGGAGTGAACATTCAGGCAGAGGGGGGGGGGGGGCGGTTGTGTGCCACCAAATTGGTTCCAACTCACTGGTAGAGTTGAACTACTGACCTTACAGTTAGCAGCCCACAAGTAATTCACTACACTATCAGGGTGCCTTTCAGGTTGAATTATTGTTGTCAAGTGTTGTGGAGTCTAGTTTAACTCATAGCAACCCTGTACAGGGGCACAAAATTTCAGTATGGCACACATAACGATTTTTATTAACAACCACCCACAATGAGTGTCCTACTAACCCAAAAGGAACTGTGAGTCCAAAGTGAATCATAATATTCTCCAAACTTGGCCTATCCATTGTGGTTAAGCATAATGTAAATGAAAATTAAGCAACAACATAGTTTTTGGAGAAGGTGTGATTGGATGCCACAGAAATATACTATCAAACAAGAAAGACCTTTAACTCCAAATAGTGGAGAATTTCAAATATTGTAAACCTAAATGTGCATGGACTCCTGGTGTGGCGCTGTGGGTTAATACACTAGACTGAAAACTCATTTTGAACAGCAAGGTCGGTGGTTCAAACGCACCAGCCACCCCTTGGAAACCCTATACAGGGTCACAATGGGTCAGAACCGACTCGACAGCACTTAGCAACAACACACTTGCATAGGATTCCTGGTGTGGTGCTGCAACCTAAGAACTAGGCTTCTAACCTCAAGGTCAGCAGTTCAAACCCACCAGCCAAACTTTGGAAACCCTATACAGGGTCACTATGAGTTTGAACCAACTCAATGGCACATAACAACAATAACAACAAATATTCGCATTTGTTCTCCAATGATTTCCAAACTTTTATAGCAATGTTATTGTTGTTAAATGCTGTCAGTCGATTCCAACTCATAGCCACCCTGTATAGGGTTCCTGGGTAGCAGCTGGAGAGTTTGAACTACTGACCTTTTAGTTAGCAGTCCAGTGTTTTTCCTACAATGCCACAATAGGAATCCTTTTGTAGAAATAGGACCCTTTTTAAAATAAAATTGTACAAGGAATAAAATACACAAAAGAAGTAGAAAAATACAACTAGTGTGACTGGAACAGGGATGGGGCCCTGGGGGGACCCACACACTGGGTTTCCCTTCCCTCCCTGCATTTAGTCTTCCTCAGACAATTCAAATCCCCTGGAACTACACTTGGAAACCATTTCATTTGTGAGAAAAGTCTCCATTGTGGAGAAAAAATTCAGGCCTCTCTTCTTTACCTGCTTTCTGCAAGATTAGAATTGAAAGAAGGAGATGAAGGGGGTGGGCTGAGTTTGTTCACTTACTGAATAATGATAATCCTGACATCAGTATATCTAAGGCAACACAACATCAAGGAAGAACAAACTAAAAAATAATTTGTGTTTACACTTAACATAAAAGAATAAAGAACTTTCCTATCACTTTCATTTCACCATCATACTAAATATGACTATTATACAGGATATTTTATTGAGATACTAATTTGGATTTTGGTCTTCTTGTACTTTTTTCCCTGGCTCAAAGAAAGTGTTTACTTGTGCTTTATTGACTACGCAAAGGCTTTCAGTTGTGTAGATTATGACAAGCTATGGACAACATTGCAAAGAATGAATATTCTGGAACATTTACTTGTGCTCATGAAGAACCTGTACATAGACCAAGAGTCAGTTGCTCGATCAGAACAATGGAACACTAAATAGACTAAAATCATGAAAGGTGTGCACCAGGGTTATATTCTTTCACCATATGTATTGAATCTCTGTGCTGAGAAGCTGGATTATACAAAGAAAAATGTGGCATCAGAATTGGAGGAAAACTCATTAACAACCTGCAATATGTAGATGATACAACCTTGCTTGCTGAAAGCAAAGAAGACTTAAAATACTTAGTAATGAAGATAAAAGACTACGGCCTTTGGTATGGATTGCACTTAATGTAAAGAAAACAAAAATCCTCACAAAAGGACCAATAAACAACATCCATATAAATGGAGAAAAGACTGAAGTTGTCAAATAGTTCAGTCTGCGCAGATCAACCATTAACATTCAGTGAAGTAGCAGTCAAGAAATCAAGTGACGCATTGCATTAGGCAACTCTGCTGCACTAGACTTCTTTAAAGCATTCAAGAGCAAAGATGTCAGTTTGAGGACTAAGGTGAGCCTGACCCAAGCCACAGTATTTTCAATAACCTCATATGCATATGAATGTTGGACATAAATAAGGAAGACCATAGAAGAATTGATGCATTTGAGTTATGATGTTGGAGAAGAATATCAAAAGTACCATGGACCATCAAAAGAACAAACCAGTCTGTGTTGTAAGAAGTACAGCCAGAATGCTCCTTAGAAGCCAAGATGGCCAGATCTGGTCTCTCATTCTTTGAACATATTATCTGAAGAGACCAGTCCCTGGAGAAGGATATCTATCATATTTAGTAAATTGAAGGGTCAGAAAAAAAGAGGAAGACCATCCTACCCACCCCCACACACACAATGGATTGGCACAGTGGCAGCATCAATGGGCTCAACCATAGCAATGATTGTGAGGCTGGCTCAGGATCGGGCAGTGTTTTCATTATGTTGTGCATAGGGTCACTATGAGTTGGTACCGACTTGATAGCACCTAACAACAACAATAACAACAACAGTACCAAAACTGAGACTAATTGTGGTAGGTGCTGTCAACTCGGTTCCTACTCATAACAACCCTATGTACAACAGAATGAAACACTGTCCAATCCTGCACCACACTCAAAATTGTTACACTTGAGCTGATTGCTGCTGCCACCATCAATCCATCTCATTGGGGAGCTTCCTCTTTTTCACTGACCCTCCACTTTACCGAGCATGATATCCTTCTCCAGGCACCGGCCCCTCCTGGTAACATGTCTGAAGTACGAGAGACAAAGTCCCACCATTCTCGCTTCTAAGGAGCAGTCTGGCTCTACTTCTTCCAACACAGATTTGTTTGTTCTTATGAAGGGCATAGTACTTTCAATTTTCTTTGCCAATACCATAGTCCAAATGCATAGATCTTCTAAGATCTTCCTTTTTTATTGTCCAATTTTCACTTGCCTATGAAAGTACTAAGTATACCATAAGAGGGGTTAGGCGCATCTTAGTCTTCAAGTTGATATCTTTGCTACTGAACACTTTAAAGAGGTCCCTTGCAGCAAATTTGCCTAGTGCAATATGTCATTTGAGTTCTTGACTGCTGCTTTCATGAGTGATGATAGTGAATCTAAGCAAAATGAAATCTTTGACAACATCAATCTTTTCTCCAGTTATAATGATGTTATTTCTTGTTCCAGTGGTAGGATTTTTGTTTTCTTTACACTGAGTTGCAATCAATACTGAAGGCTGCGATCTTTATCAGTAAGTATTTTAAGTCCTCTTTGCAAGCAAGGTTGTATCATCTGCATATTGCAGGTTGTAATGCATCTTTTTCCAATCCTGATGCACACTCTTCTTCATATAATCCAGTTTCTCAGATTATTTGCACAGCATACAGACTGAATAGTATGGTGAAAGTATACAACCCTGATGCATAGCTTTCCTAATTTTAAACCATCCAGTATCCCTTTGCTTCTAACAACTGCTTCGTAGTCTATGTAAAGGTTTTTCATGAGCACATTTTAGTGTTCTGAAATACCCATTCTTCACAATGTTATCCATAGCTTGACATGATACACCCAGATGAAAGCCTTTGCATAATTAACAAAGCACAAGCAAACATCTTTCTTGTATTCTCTGCTCTCACCCCAAATTCATCTGACATCAGCATTGATATCCCTTGTTCCACATCCTCTTCTGCATCCATCTTGAGTTTCTGGTATAATTTTTTACTGTGCAAAACCCATAGCACACACGTGAGTTAGTTCGGTGTTGGGCTACTAACTGCAAGATCGGTGCTTCAAACTCACCAGCCACTCCACTGGAGAAAGAGAGGCAGTCTGTTTTTGTAAAGATTTAGTCTTGGAAATCCTATAGTGGGTCACTATGAGTCAGAATCAATTCAATGACAATAGGTTTGGTTTGGGTTTTGGTTTATATCCATAGCACCTAGAACAGAGCCATTGTTCTTGCTCAATAGTATTTATTGACTTAAATATAACAGAATACTCTCTCAAGAGCTTGAACAAAGATGACAGAAATAAAGTCAAATACTTATGACAATAATGAAAAAATGGTTTAAATTTCCCTATAAAAGTATCTCACATAATACACCCATATGCTGATTACAAGAAACACAAAATAAAATGACAAAAACTTCCACTCTCAGGATGCCGAATGACAAGCATCAGGCTTAACATCCCATGGTAGACTAGAAAACTGGACAAATCAATGGGAAACTGTTTCCAAGCATCTACAGGACCTTTATGTCAGAGATAAACTCAA